TTTTTTTGAGACAGGGTCTCACTGTATAGTTTACACTGACCTGGAACTCACTATGTAGCCCAGGGTGGTCTCGAACTCACAGTGATCCTCCTGCCTCAACCTCCCAAGTGCTAGGTTTACAGGCATGCGCCACCACGCCTGGCCTAATCACCCAAATCTTTGAAAGTGGAAAAGGTAGTCTATCTCACTTTCATTGTTTTTAAAAATCAAAGTTTCCCTCTAGAAATTAAACCATATAAAAGTAAACCATTCTATGTGGGAGGGATTAAAAATGGTGGCATTTTAACTCTACTGACTGAATTCATAGAAGGCCTTTTCTAATCTTAATCCTCCTAACCATTGTTTTTCATTCCTCTGTCCTAGTTAAGCTGAGTAGAACTATTTTTACAGTTTTTATTGCAATTATTTGCTCAGATTGTTCCACTTTTAATTTCCAGCTATCCCAGATCTACTTTTAATTTTCTTTCAGCTGAAGGTTGAACCCCAGGTTTTGTGCATTTGAGTTAAGCAGTCTATCATGAGATATATTTCAGCTCCTACTTTTATTTTTGAACCCAATTCAGATCCCTCCCAACCTCAATTCAATGCAATTATTTTCATCTTTAAATTTATATTAAAAATTAAACAACAGTTTGGAGAAGAGGCTTCTTTTGTCATTTTTACATCAAAGGAAAAATAGATGTTCATTCCTATCACCTTAAGACTACCCAGTTAAGTGAAGTGAGTATAATTTTCAACTTTGAATTTTGTATAATTCAGGTTTATCTTTGTACCTGAGGTTTGTACCTGTGTCTGATGTGATGTGAATAGGACAGGCCATATATTTCTCTTATGCAGTGTTTTAAGTATTACTTGTTACTATTCTTGTCAATTAGACGGAGTGTTTCTCTCCCTTAGAGACAGATGGATAAGGATAACAAGGCATTCTAGGATGCTCCGTGGAAAAAGCTACAGTAAGAGCTTTTCTTTCTCATTACTTTCTTAGGACTTCCTGACATAAGGGAGAAAAAAAATCTGGTGGATTGTTCCAAACCCCTTCCTACTTCCCTTCAGAATGAGTTCATCCCTGAGGAAGTTCTGCTTTCTCTGACCTACGCAACCAGTGCTGGTCCTTGTCCTGAAAATTTACTGCCTCCTATGAAAGTTAAAACCCCACAGGTTTGTGTTTATGTATAATAGAGTACTTGGGAACATTATCTTTTTGTTATCTGCTTCATTAAGTGTTGAGCATATATTCTGTATTCCAGATGGTCTTAAAATTGTTTTGAAAGTAATTTTCTACATTGAAAGCTTAGATCTTTTTTTTTTTTTTTTTTTTTTTTTTTTAGAACTCCAGTCGTTGTGCTTGCAAGGCAGGTGGCCAAAGCACGGAGCTAAATCCCTGGCCCTGAAGCCCTAGGTCTTTTACACCAATATTTCCAATGCTTATTTCCATTAACTGTTTTTATGTAAATTTACCAAAATGATTATTACCACTCATTAGTCTTAATATGTGTCAATTTCAGTCTTGTTCATGTTATCGAATAAGTTCTTTCTTTCTTTATCCCATAGAATGTCCAAATTCCCCTAATGTAAATATTTCAAAATCAGTTAAGTTTTCATTTGATTAGCGCGCCCTCTGCTGGAGATTTATATGTTTTTGCTTTTTCTCAGGGTACCCTTCCACGTGCTGTAGACCATGTCTGGCAGCACCCCATTCGTAGGAGAAAATTCAAATACCTGATTGACCATCCTGTCTCCCTAACAGGAGCTGCAAGGTAAAGAAGGAAGAGGTCAGGACAGAGGCAGATAAATAGAGTTGTCTTCTCATTTCATATGATATCTGTGGTAGGGGCAAGATTGGAAATATAAAATCATTGATTATAAAACATGCTGTATCTCTTTTTTTAAAAAAATTTCATACTGGGTGTCACTAAGTTGCTCATGCTTGGATTAAACTTGTAATGCTCCTGTCTTAGAGTGCTGAGATTATAGGCATGTGCCACCATACCTAGTGGTGGGATGCTTTTAGGGCTTCCTTTTTTTTTTATATCTTAAGTGCTTAACTCCTGGTACTCTTCAAAGGGAACCCTTGACTTTACGTGATTTCAGATCAAATCAGCAAATACTATTTTTTTTTATGATTGAAAACATATTCTAAATGTCAATTTTTTTCCTGTGAAGATTGTGACCTGTTTATTTTCTAAGTATTATTTATCTGTGGATTTTCTTCCTATGCACACCTCTCACTTTCTTTTTATTTGCTTTTGTGTGTCATCTTCATCTGAAAGGGTTACCATACTTAGGTAGGTTACCTAGCCTTTCTGAACTTACTTTTCTCATCTGTAAGAAAGGGAGTGATAGTCTTTTCAATGTTTTGTGCCTTCCAGGGATATTGTAAAGCACAAATGAGATAATGGCTGTAAGAGCACTTATAAACCATTAGTGCGGTATTTAAGTAGGAGGTGTTATTTACTCAGTTATGTGTCCATGCTGGAAAGGTAGCCAATTTTGACTTTTATGTCCTGTAATATCATTAAGCACATGTACTTTGTTTTGGGCCTTCAGATCATGGTTATATTTAGTACTAATTAGTAGTTATGAAATGTTTGAAGTCCTTTGAAAAGTTAATTAGCTATTTCAGAATGCATCAGTAAACTGACATTAAAGTTTTGATGTCTAATGACTTCTGAGTGGGAATTTTTAAATGTGAAGATCAGGTAGCTAGATAATGTTCCCTGCCCACTTGCTAAAATACCCTTACTGTAATCGAAGAACTTGTGACTGCATACCTCACGTGGCTGAGAGGACTTTGCAGATGTGGAAAAGGTTAAGAACCTTGAGATGGAGAGATTACTCTGGGTTGTCAGAGTGAGCCCACCCTAATCACCTGAATCTTTGAAAGTAGAAAAGGAAGACAATCAAGTGGATCAGAGAGATGAGGCAGAAGGCGGATTTGGAGCATGAGGGAGGGAATCAGCCTATCCCTGTTGGCTTTGAAGATGGAGGGAAAAGAACACAAGCCAAGAAATGCAGTTGACTAGGGCATGGTGGTGTATGCCTGTCCTCCTAGCTACTTGGGAGGCTGAGGCAGGGAGATCACAAGTTTAAGGCTGGTCTGAACAATTTAGCAAGACTATATCTCAAAATAAAAGTTAGGGCTAGGGCCAGGGATTTAGCTCAATGGTGCCTCTGTCTGCTTCACAAGTGCAAGGTCCAGAGTTCAATCCTGGGTGAAAAAAAAATTAGAAAGGGCTGGTTTTAAAGCTCAGTGTAGGGCTCTTGCCTAGCATGTGCAAGGTCCTGGGTTGAATCCCAAATACAATCAAAGGAAAAAGAAAAACATGCAATCGGATACAGGAATCTGGGACTTCTAGTGACAACTCAGTTGACAACTATCTACAAAACAGGGATCTCAGTCTTACAACTTCAAGGAACTGAATTCTGTTAAACACATGATCACAGAAATGGATCTTCTTGTAGTGCATCCGGAAAGAAACAGCCCTCTCGGCCCCTCAATTTTAGCCCTGTGAGACCTGCATTGGCCCCCTGACCTGCAGAACTGGGATAATAAATCTATGTTGCTTAGGCTAAGTTCGCAGTACCTCATGATGGCAGAAATATGTATATGCTCAGTTAGTAGTAACAAGAGGTAACTTGCCCAACAGTCTCAAACATCTAGAGCACAGCAATAAAATACCAATGACAAAGTGAATATTTTTGTCAGCTCTGTCAGAGTTCAATGCAAAAATAAATCACCATACATATTTCAAGTAGGAAAAAACTAAAGGTAGAAAACAGTATTTAGAAAATTGTTGGAAGGGTTAAAGAAGTTGGTGTAAGCAGTGCCTGTGTGAAAAACTCCCAGTTTGGGCAGAGTTGACTCCTCAGAGAAGCAACTCCTTCCAAAGCAGCCACAAGAGCTCTGCTTTAAGAAGGTACCCCTCTGAGTAGACATTTGTCCAAAGCACATACAATAATTAATTTATTACACTGTTTTTTCTTTGGGCCCTTTTCTCCCCCTCTCCCTTTTTTTTTCTGCTTTCTTCTTCTTCTTCTTCCTCCTCCTTCCTCTTCCTTCTCCTTCTCCTTCTTGCTCCATAAAGTTTTCTTTCATTTTTTTTCCTGTCTATATGGCCCCAGGAAGAAATTATGGAAATGAGTAACATAAATCAGGACAGGAGTAGATGAGGTTATGAAAGGATCACATGGAAGGCATCTGAGGTAACTGGTAAAAGTTTGAGCTTCTAACCTGGTAATTAGAAGGATATATATCATAATATTTGAGTTACACAATTAAAATTTTTGTCAAAAAATTTTAAAGTACTAATCAGAAAGAGCTTAAAATGTTGCTGGATATGTATTCAACATAAAAATGTATCCTTATGTACAGGTAGTCATCAATCAGAATATAGTAAAAGATGTCATTTACAATAGCAAAAAAAAAGGTATCTTGAAAGGTATATAGGGAAAAATCTATCAAAAAGCCATCTGACCTTTATGGAGAAAATTATATAGCTATCAAAAGACTTAGAAGACCTGAGTGCATTTTCTTCCCCCTGATATTGGGGCACGAACTCAGGACCTTGCACTTGCAGGGCAGGTGTGGTGCCACTGAGTGTGTTCAGAAAGTGTTCAAATGGGAAGGGGAACAAGGGAGGAGAGACGGATAAAGAAAGGAAGGGGCAAGAAAAAAAGTGAAAATAGAAGGAAAAAATGGAAACAGCTTTTGTACATGGGGGCGCTGAAGGGGGGGAATGGGATAAGATAAAATTTATAAAAAAATAAAATAAAATCCAAATGTTCATTAAAAAAGGAAGACCTAAGTGAATAGAAATATGCCATAGCCATGAACTCAAAGTATGTTATGTCAGTATTCCAAATTAATCTATAAACCCAGTGTAATTCCTCTTCAAATTCCAGTAAGATTTGTCATAGAATTCAAGCTAATCCTAAAATTCAGATGGAAAAGAAAACAGCAGTAGGCAAACAGTGCATACTCTTAAGTAATTAATACAGTATCATACCACTCGTGATCTCAAAACATTCAAAACTGTACTACATATTCCTTAGGGTTATATTTATGTACTAAATGTGAACTACACATGGAAATAATAAATACTGATTTCCAGATAGGAAAGGGAAGATGAAGAACTTTTAATCTAAGGCAATTTGGTTAAAATTATCAAAATTACAAATGCACACTGTTCAGTCTGGCTGTTTCACCCACGGGAATTTATTCTGTAGATATAGTCATGTGAGAAAGAGCATATTGACAAAAATGTACATTTTAGTGTTGTTTGTAACAGGAAAATATTGGAAAGAACATAATACTTGGCAGTAGAGAATTAATAATAATTTATATGTAAATGGGATTCCATGTGGCCAGTTTAAAAACAAAAAGGCTGAAGGGTTAGCTCAAAGTAGAGTGCTTGCCTAGTATACTTGAGGCCCTGGCTTTGATTCCACCTACTGCAAAAACAAACACCCAATCAAAGAAAGTCATTATATGCTGAGATGAAGTGATTTCTAAAGAAGTGATTAAGTGGAAAAAACAAGATGAAAAAAAGGATACAAATACTGAACATACATGCGTGTTGCTTCCTGCCAATGTAGAATTTCATCAAATTTGTTTTCATCATTACCAGTTTGATAAGTGAAAAGTGGTATTTGATGGTTATAATTTATGTTTCACTTACCATGTACAAAACTGAACAGGGCCAGGGATTTAGCTCAGTGGTTTGGTGGCCTGCCTTGCAAGCGCAAGGACTCGAGTTTGATCCCTGGTACCAAAAACACAAAAAAAAAAAAAAAAAAAAAAAAAGACTGAACATGTTCTCATTTGTTTAAGATGATCAATTTGCATTTGTTTTCTGTGACTATATTTATATATGCTTTACAGCTACTTGACATTTATTCCTTTTTTTAAAAATTTTTAAAAAACTTAAATTGAATTTATTGGTACATTCTAGGTAGACAGTACAGTTACATTCATTACTCGGATCTTGTACCTTTACATGCCAGGTCTTGGTGCTCATTTTTTCCCCTTGTCCCCACCCTCCCTTCACCCCCCTCC